CACCACGCTCCCATCACTGGAACGGATAATGTTCCCAATCAGTAGATCACTCTGTTTCCCTACGAGCAGCAATTCAACTTGGGGCAAAGCCTGTACAATCCCTACTCTGTAAAAACCCAGGCTATAAAAGTTTTGTAACACATAGCAAAATAGTAAAAGATATAAAGAAATCATTGCCAGAACTGATTTAGGAGTGCAAGTAAAGCATAATTTGCCTAATCCATTTTCCTTACTATGTGTACATGTACGAACACTCAAAGGACAGGCAATGAAGGGATGAGGTGGACAAGATTTTGATAACAGCATGAAATAGCATTGCTTTAAAAGTCATAGGAGCCTTTAAATACACACAGTAATCACTGCTTGTTTCACCTCTTTATTTCAGACGGGCTCCAGAGAAGGTCATGTTGTAGAGTTCTCCATAAAAGAGACCAACTGCTCCAAACCTGCACAGCAACACACAGACACGCTGCTGCAATGCCATTTTCTAGATGACTGGCATGCTGTAAGTGAAGGCCTATGGGGAGGACTGGGACAAAGGGTGGCACCAGGAAGTTCTTCCCACAGTATTTTCAAGTGTTTCTTACAAGCATGTATACAAACTCAAAATGTAAAACCCAGCAGGCCAAGTCCAGATTTTAATTTCACAGCTGCTTCTTTGTCTTCTATAAGGAGCCAATCTGGACTTGTGAATCTAAATGAAACTAGAACCTGGGATATTCCAGATCTAGATTTGAATTTTTTGTTTCTCGCTTCAACATTTAAACTATGACCATTCCCTAGTAAATCAATAGTGCTATTTTTACAAAACCTTTTACACTGATTTGAAATATGTGTGTTATCTCATCCCAGTGAGGCCAGGATTTTCTTTTTTGTGTGTTCTTCCTCTGCAGCAGGGAAATGGAGGGTTCAATGATTCAGACTGGTCTACAGATTATATCAAAGTACCCTCCTCATTCCACCTCCTCCTAATAATAGTCTATACCATGGAAACTCTAGGTAGAGTCATTAAAGCAAAATAAATCCTCTCAGGAATGAAATAGAAGGAATGAAATCTAAAAACATTTGAAAACCTCTGTAAAATGGTCTTCTTACCCACAGTGATTTTTCTTCCGTGGCTCCTTATATCCCAGAAGAGCAAAAAAAGTTGTGAATGGGCCAGTGGCAGAGCCACAAGTTGATGAGGATGATGCACACGCCAGGTAGCCAGGGGCTTTGAATTCGGTTCCCAGAGCAGGCCCTGCTGCTACAGGCAGAACACGCTGCTACTTCCGTAATCAGTTGTCATCACAGGCTACAGATTGCTCAAATATATATATCAAGATAAAGCTCCTGCTGCAAAGAGCTTACACAGAACTGATTATCCCTCAGTTCTGTGATCCTGTGCCTGAACAAAGAGCTTCACACTGGCTGTTTCAAAACAAGGCTGTGCTTCTGAAATGGGAGAGCAGACCCATGGGGTCACTACTCCCCATGCAAAAGTGAGAGCCCAATGAGCAAGGAGGGAGCAGTTGCACATACACAGACTGAGAGCAGGCCAAAGGCACCACGGACAGGATGCTAAAAGAAGCAATGCTAAAAGGCTACAGGACATTACTTCTCAAAAAAGAAATGTGGAAAAAATAGCGCTCTCTTGGGCTTCTCCTCGAGTAGCATAGCTATACAGTGTCTGTTATCGAAGTCTTGGAGCAAAATTTCAGAAAAGCCCAATCTAAATGGAAGTTTAACAACCAAAGAAGAAGAAAGAGAATGAATCCTCCATGGGGTTCTCTTTTTGGAGGCATTGGTAGCTGACCAATTTCCTATGAACATCAAAAGAGAAATAAGATGATGAATAATAATGCACATGGGGAAGACATCTTCACAGTCAGTAATACTCAAACTAGCATATATTCTAGTCCTCTATTTAGAGGGCAAGTATCGCTGGTCGTAAAGCTCAGAATCTAGCTAGATTATGCGAATACTTGGGTACCATTTGAACTAGCCTATTTTCAAAATGCTGAACTTTCAGTAGCTTTTACTAATCCCATCCTAAGAATCCAAATGTGCAATGCTTTTTTTTCCCTTTGTTTTGCTTAGCAAAAGGGATTCTGCAATGCAACGATCGGTGTCCCAGAAGAAACGGAAGGAACCGATATAACCTGTGAACTCTACCATCCCTGGGTACGTAGCAATGACAGAAACATCTCTCACATCTATTACCTCCCTTGCTATAAAGAGACACTGTCCACATCTGTCCCTGTGAACGCTGTGGTTGCGTTAAGAGGCGGACAGATGAGCTGTGCATAATGTATCAACACTTCCCAGCTACTTTCAAGCAGCAGCTATGGAATTCATGCCAGAAAGTCCTATCAACCAAAGCTGAATTTATCATAAAACCTTAATAAATATTTATATATTCCCAGCCAAAAATAAGTAGAAATAAGACAGAAGTAATAAGAAAAAAAAATAATTGATTGGGCCTCTTTAAACTAGCTATTACATACTCTATTAAGCCTCTTTATACTGCAAAATTGATATAAAGGTCTCTAGACATAAACAAAAATCAGGCTCTGAATAAACACGTTTTGATAATGAGCTGTACCAGTGCTACCATTAGCAATGTTTGAGCTAGAAAGCATATCTGCAAGGAAAAGGAAGGTTTGCTTTATCGTATTTGGCATTCAATTAAACTATCTGTGTGAAGCTACGTAACTCTCACCTCTTTCCCCACCTTCTTCTGTTACTTAAACATCTCTCTCACTACTGCTTTCCCTGGTATTTCTCTTACAGCAGCAGCAATGGGGGCAAAAATGCAGCTTTCCGCCTCTGGGTCGGCCCCACAGGCATCCCCATCCCCACGGTGGTCACGGGCACCATCGCGGGCATCGCTGTCCGCCTCCCTTCACACCTCAAGACTCCGAGCGGCACCGCAACTTCACTGAAGAACATGACGACAGCCAGGAAGGACATCCTCATCCCCCTCCCCACGCCCCCTCCCCCCGCCACACCACCGCTGTCCTCCTCCTCCCCAAGAGGAAGCACATGACCCTGCTTCCCCTTTGCCCAAGGATGAAGCACATATTCCTCCTCCTCCCCCCCCTCCCCAGGATGAAACACGTCATCTCCCTCATCCTCCCCACCATGGACCCCCTTGTCCTCATCCTCCTCCCTACCATGATGGACCAGATCATCCCCCTCCTCCTCCCCATCACGGACCACACTGCCCTCCTCCCCACCATGATGGACCACACCATCCCCCTCCTCCTCCCCATCATGGACCACACTCCCCTCCTCCCCATCATGATGGACCACACCATCCCCCTCCCCATCATGGACCTCACTGCCCTCCTCCCCACCACCACGGACCACAGCATCCCCCTCATCCTCCCCACCATGGTCCACACTGCCCTCCTCCTCCTCCAGGGCACCCTCGTTTCCACCATCATCACTATCACAGACATCACTGCAATAAGACAAGCTCATCAGGAAAGCACTTTCCATTCCAAATAGGAGCTGTCTATCGCATTCCAGTTCTAAACCAGCAGGACTCTCTCACCCTTCCCCTTGCAAATTTTCTTCAGCTATCCCAAAGTGACCAGCTATCCCAAAGTGACCTCTCCGACACTGGGGAGGGCACTCCCTTCACTGGCTCAGGTCTAGAAAAAACATCAGGAATTCATGAATTTCCACATCACCCTTCACAATCAAAATCATGCCCAGGAAAACCCAAACTTCATCTGCCTCATATTTTGCCTTTACTTTCGCATGAATCCACGGAAAAAATCTCTCCTAAGTGTTCACAAAGGAAGGTGGTTTTGGCTTGAGGATTGGAAGACAGATGAGTTGTGCAATGAAAAGAAACAGCATGACGTGGAGGGGGAAAGTGTACAATTTCTAGGAATGAGAAGCACTGAAAATAATGATAATTAAGGCAAATATTCCAACTTGCCTCCTGACCCCAGCTATCTCAGATAGCTGCGACTGAAAGGATCAAAATTTTGTAGATCTTAACTAATGTGAGTGGATGCAAATCTCCCTTGCAAACAATGTACCTCTAATTCTAACAAAAGAAAATTCACTAATGGAAACCACCACCTAATATCTTTCACTTTCTCCTAATGCCTAAGATACCTCTGTACATATCTACTATATTGTTTGTAATGATCCACTAATTCCAAGCTCACATCAATAAAGGACAACAAGCATTTCTCCTACAGGTCTTATTCTTGGCAAATAGGTTGCTCCCAGACTAGACAGCCTCACTCAGCCACACGCATTGCAGAATAGCTCATGGAGAGTGAAAGGATTTTTGTGTGACTCGATCTCAGTCCACTTACAACTGCAATAAATGAAAATTCTGATCACAAGGTAGAAAGATTTCTATATAAAACAACCAGAGAAAATTGATGACCTTGCAAAATAAAAGGAGGTTCAGGTTCCTCTGTTCTTATGGTCTGCAGTTCTGAACATCTGCAAGTTCAGAATATCAAGGAAACAGAGCTTTCCTCCTACTTATGCTATCTCTATGCCAAAATCCTCCAATCTGAATCCTCCGGGTACACTG